GGTGTTGCTATAATCATTTAGACCAACTTATAATGATATGCAGTCTACACAATAATGAGATTAAATTGGCAACACTGGAATGCCAGGGCCAAAATGTTTATCTCATTTTGTGTTCACTTAACTTCTTGTCCTACTTCCATTTGTATCCAACGAAAGAAAGCGATTATGGTAAATCCACATGCGTGACTGTGAGAGCATATATGTCAGGTCCTCATCACTAAACTAATTTAGTCAAAGCATGGGCAATTTCGTTGTGTATATTGATATAATTATTCATTAGAACACCCAGTATATTGTGAGAGGGAATAATCAATTTCACCAACTGGTACTCGCAATGCATTAGAACCTACTCATGCATGTGATGTGAAGTCTTCCTACTTGACTCAAATTTAATTTCTAACTTCAATCAAAATAAATTTACCGAAATTGGATTTTATATAGCGTACGCATGCATGTGATGTAGTCTTCCAACCAGACACAAATTTAATTTCTAACTTTAATCAAAATAAATTTACTGAAATTGGATTTTATATAGTGTTCCATTCTGCCATCCCCATCTCATCTATGAAGTACCGGAAGGGCGTTAACTCTGTGTTATACATAGTATACATGAGTTATTGTCCTTCTAGCCCCAAACAAACAAACAATTAGGCGCGTCTTCATCATCTCGAGATTGCCAAATAGCCCGCTATTTCTGATTTGGGAAATAATCCCTCAAAACTTGAAACTCGACCGTGAGAAATTAGCTCGAGATATTTTGCTCAGCGTTAGCGCGTATTGCAAATCTTCGGTCTAGTGAAGATGCATGGGACAAATAGCTGGATATTTTGCCAAATAGTGGGATATTTTGCAAACTATCCCAAGATATCTTGGGATGACAATCCTGACCAAATATCCTTCTAATTGCTACTTCGGTCTGATGAAGACGCAAATTAGCTGGATAGTTTGCGATCGGGATAGTTCAAATAGCTGGATATTTGGCAATCTCGAGATGGTGAAGACAGGCCTTATGTAAACTCATTTTCAGGGGGCAGGCAAAATGTCATTAAAGAGAAGGTCGAGTTCTGGGAAGAGGTAAAAAATAATTTGTGAGCGTTATCATTGTTATGCAAGTTTCAAAGAACATCGGATAATACATGTTCCCTGAAAAGCATTGTTCTTCAATTGCCTTCATATTCTAAATATGGCATGTAACAACATAAAAATTGGGACAGATTTCTATACCACATGTTCATGTAGTCCCATATACATCTTTCTGTGTGCAGTGCTTGTAACTTTACTAAGACTGGACCAAATTTCTTATCATTTTGATGATTCCAGAACCTTGCAGTACACACCAATACTTATAAAGTTATATGCTAGATCATCAACCTTTTCTGATCTATTCCACACCATTTCTTTCACGATGCAATTGCATGACCAGAAGTCAACTTTGTCTTTAAATTAAGTTTGAAATGAGGTCACTCTTAGTGATTGCAATCCTTCATGAAATTTGCTACTGATGGACAGATGTTCCAAGGGGGAGAAGAGGAAATCTCAAGTAGCTCTCCCAGCACCCCTGTCGTGTAAACGTGCTCATCAGTGTAAGCAGTTGATAACAAATTGGACAGATGGATGCCCCAGCTAAATCTGATTTAGAATGACTGTGGAGAGAGAGAGAGAGAGAGAGAGAGAGAGAGAGAGAGAGAGAGAGAAAGAGAGAGAGAAAGAGAAAGAGAGAGGGAGGGACCCTATTTACACTTCCAAAGAAAACACATATCAGATCGCATGAATCAGTAGTGTGAATGAACCCAAGCTAGTCCATATGTGGAGTGTTTCATATCGATCCATACAATCGAGGCATCTTGTTATGGGAATGGGGTCAAGGAATGATGAGGAAGGGAAATATTCAAGAGTTTCGTCTGAAGGTTGAGATATAATTATTTTCCAAAATCATTAAAGGGAAAGTCCACCCTGAAATTAAGTTAGTTTTAATAGGAGTAGAAAAATGAGAGAAACAAGTCAGTGAAAGTTTGAGCAAATTCCGATTGAAAATAAGGAAGTTAGGATTTTTGAAGTTGTGATCAATCAAACACAAATTGGCAACTCTATGACGTATCATGCGAGCTCAACTTCCATTTGCTCAGTAATAAAAAAATCTAAAATTTTCATTTTCCCTCAAGAAAAATTTCAACCATACATGCACCCTAAATATAATAATTGCAAATATGTTTCTATACTCCCCCTGCAAGGAACAAATATATATTCCGTCATCAATAACGAAGAAAACATGATTTTATGGAATATTATGCACAAAGCAAATGAAGGAGAGCTCGTATAATAAGTCACAGAGTTGCCAATTTGTATTTGATTGATCACAACTTCAATAATTCATAACTTTCTTATTTTCATTCAGAATTTGCTCAAACTTTCACTCACCTGATTTTCTTATTATTCTGCCTCTATCGAAACAAAATTATTTTTGGGGTGGACTTTCCCTTTAAATAGGACCTACATGTACATGTACCCATTTCGACAAGCAAGCAAAGCGTAATAAAACAGGTCATTTTTTTACTGATTGTGGAAAAGTACCAATTCGTCCTTGTTTTCACGAAGTGACGGTAGTGAGGAAAATCGTAACGCAAAGTGAATGCAATTTTTTTTCACTACCGTCACTTCGTGAAAACAGCGACGAATTAAGAAGGGAATATTTCTAGTCAAACTCGTGTTTTTGAAAGCGTGACAATAACTAGAGATATTGCGTGACATTTTCATCTTTAGGAGGCACCTTTGATTTATAAAAGTTTAACTTCAAAGCCACTGTGTACAGATTTCTCTTAATTTTTCATATTTGGGGTTTGCTTGATTGCTTCAGCAGGATTCTTGCTTCCTGAACCATTGGAATCCTTTTTGTTTTGATCAGGGACTTGTATTTGGGCAAGTCCAAGGCATGCCCCATACAATACCAAGAATTATCAAATTGTAAACAGGATTTGATTACATGATTTGTAATTATTTGATTTACTATTTTGTATGATTCAAGCTCTAGAAGGGATAATAGTTTGATACATGTACATTCATCAGATATCCTGAAATCTTGTGTGTTTAGTAGAGAATGGACCGAATAGTTTGACTTGCATCTTCAGTTCCCTAGTTTGATGCTGTTACATTATGAAGCCAGAAGGAGATTAAATCATTTACCTTAAAGGTACTATGTCCCTTTTGCAGGCCAAAAAATGAAAAAGTTCAATTCCAACTGCATTTGAAAGATATTACTAATTTAGAACTTCCCTAAAAAAGGTGGGGCTTGAAAATTTCTTCAAGTGGGAAAATAACGACTATTAGTTGTCAAATCGACTTGAGGGCTATAGAGCCCAAAAGTAATAGTCTTGATTTTTAGACAATTGTACCGAAATAGTCATACGTTTTATGCTACGCAAAGATTCAATCAGTTTAATCTTGGCCATCACAAGAAGTGGGTTATTGATGTAGACAAATGCTCATGTACCCTTTACAACTCTTTTCATGTATGTTATTACCAAAGAAGAAAAAAAGCCAGTCAGTCACTCAATAGTGTCTGACAGTGAAGTCTAGTAAGTAAACGGGTTTCCTTGCATAATTTGAATATGAGGACACTGCTAACGTTTAAATTTCACAGATAGGACATACATGACATATTCATAATTCCTGCAAAGTTCTACAGCATTTGAGGTTGGCTGCAAAAGGGACATACATGTAGTACCTTTAATGCAGTGTTCTGCACTTCTCACCAAAAATCAGAATGAAAGAACACCCATGTTTTTATGGGTTTTTCCAGTAGTGCAAAAGGCAGTTGATAATTGAGACAATTTTTCATGTTTTATGTTTTTATGTGACAGGTAAAATGACCCTTGGCATTTGTAAATAAATGTGAAACAGGTACTGACCATGGCAGCCAGTAACTTTTTCTTCACTTTCACCTTGTAAGGTGCACATTAACATTAATCTTGAAGAACTCGGGTTATGGCAATTGTCAGTAAAAAAGCTGAGTGTTCATGAAAAAAAAACGAAGAGAATTGTACATGTATTACTAAATGATTTTGAGACTCGTGACTACTATTCATGAGCTTTAAATGAGTGAAAATGTGGAGAAAAATGAAAAGGGATTGGATTAATGAATAAGGGAAAGAATTACTATGATTCATTTCATGAAGAAAATTGTACATGTATTACAAAATGATTTTGAGACTTTTGGATACTATGCTTGAGTTTTAAATAAGTGAAAATACTATTCATGAGCTTTAAATGAGTGAAAATGTGGAGAAAAATGAAATGGATTGGATTAATGGATAAGGGTATGAATTAATGTAGATGTGCAATATGTGCCCCCCCCCCCCCCCCAAAAAAAAAAAAAAATAAATAAATAAATAAAAAAATCTGGAAGATTTGAGGACAACGAATCAGTAAAGATAACATCTCTACTAATATTTAGAGTACATCTGTGTAAGTAAAAAAAAAAGGTTTTAGAAGAAATTGAAAGGAAAAGAAAACGCGATAGCATAAAAATAGCAATTGTAAGATAATGTAATACGTTAGATACAGAAATCGGAGTCTTAATGCATACATGTAAACAAAAATAATGATTTGAAACCTTTCATCCCAAAACATGCAGGATGGGAGAAAGCAGATGTGATCATTCATTGAATTTAATGTGTAAGATCAAATTTCCACAAAAAAAATTTGAATAGTAGGGATAGGAATAAAGTTACTAACTAGATAGTTTTCAAATTTAGTTAGTTTCAAAAAGAATATGTAATATCATTTGTATAAAGCATGCATGTACAAGCTCCTCTTTAAACATGTGACATTTTTGTTTTAACCCTTTCTTTTTTTGTGAAGTAAATCTATTTCTGCTTCTTTAATAGTTTCCATGAAGATATATATATTATGTAATTTAATCCAAAGCTGCCTTGGCTACTTGTAGCTTTACCATTCATTACATAAGAAGAAGAAACATTCATTTGCGTAAGTCTATGCCTCACCTTATAGTTTGTGCACAGTTATTATGATAATCCACATTCCTTTAGTAACACAATCCACAAATTGGAGATTTCTCTTTAACATACAAATATCCCAGAAGCATTTGTCAAAATCTGTCTCCAGGCGAAAAATGCTCGATCCAATAAGTCAATATTAGTTCCTCGAAACAGCAGCTCCAATTGAAATAGATAAGCGTGAAATCCTTATATACAAATCTGAAGTGGGTTGTGAAAAGCTAGCGGTAATACTAATAGAACAAGAGGGTGTAACCATAGGTGTAACGTTCCTTGGACAACAGCTATGGTCATTCTGGCTGGAATCAGCTTTGTTGACCGGCTATAATAAGGTGAGATGATCGGTCAGCCGCAAGCAGATTGGCTGTAATCATCACTTGTCCAGTCTGGCTGGCTGACCAGCCACTGGATAGCGCTGGTCAAGCAGAGTAGCTAGCTGGAAGGCTATTTTGGTGTCCTGGATTGATGTTCAGTGGAAAAGCATGCACTGGTCAACTAACACTGTAATCTTGTGTGAAATGAAAGAGAAAATTAAGATTTAAATAGCTGCAGGAGGTGCTTCTCATCTTGTAATTGGTTTGTCTAGGGAAAATTTCTAAACTTCTCTTCCTTAAAAAAGAAATTGGGGTGTGAGGGGATTGGGAATGAAATTAACCTCTGATATCTGAATTCTTGCAGCAAATAAATGCAATGCTAATTTCATGTGCTTTTAACCATAAATTTTTGATAGCTTAATTTCACAGAAGGTGATTAATTGATAAAAATCTTAACCAATAACTTAGGATTATAAATGAAATTATATGAAATCATGAAATGTTGACAGAAAGAAATTAGCTGTACTCTAAAATAGTATTCCCACCCCATGTATGTTACAAATTCCTAAAAAGTGGAGGGAGGGGCATTATTACAGGATGGTACATGAAACATCTCTTAGAAATAATTTCATCCACCATTCAGAATAAATTCTTGCTAGTTTATTCCAAAATTCAATAGCCTGACAATACTCAAAGTATTCTTTGTTTCTACCCCAAATTTGAAGAAAAAAACCTGGGGAAAAAAAAATTGAGAAACACTTTTTAATACAGAATTAAAACTTTTAGAAATCTGGACAGAGAAAAAAAATATTGATGCTCTTTGGGGTATTTTTTTTTCTATTTTTTTTTGCCATTGACTTTCACACCAAAAAGCAGGGGACTGGAATCAATCATTGTCAGTTTTGAAGGATTACATTCCATCCTAAACAAGAGTTCAAATTTTAAAACTCTTATAAACAGTCAGAAAAGGTTTCACTATGGCTTCGTGTTGAATATGACTTCGGGGGATTTTTTATTATTCAGATGTGTAGTAGCCTTCTGCTTTGATATGAAGGACAAAAATGAAGGGTGTATCTAAACTTCTTTGGCCGCCAGTAAGAAGGCCATTACTCCCATTGACAATCCATTGCTGTAATGGCCTTTTTGCAGGTAGCTGACAAATTTTACCATGGCCAGAAAAATTCTGTTTACATGATCCGAAGGAATATTCTGCAGTAAATTGTTGGGTCTGAATAATATCAAAGGTTCATATTGGTGGATAAACTCACAATATTTATTAGCCTCTTTGTGTGTGTATGTATGTGTATAAGATTTTAAAAACATCTTTATGCTATACATTGCCTAGATCTGGTTTCGTCAACTGATCAAGAAATTGTTTATTTTCCAAAATCTCACACTTTTATGGAACTTGTTAATAAAGTTTTTGTAAGACTTGTGAAAAAGTGCTTGGAAGACATGGATTCTCTAAATAAGCCTGTGTCCGGTATTAGTTACAAGTTCTACACTAGATAAGATAAGATAAGATAATCAAATTTATTCCATTCATCATTAAAAATAAAAACATTTAGATACAATAACATACAAAATCACAAGATATATACATGTATACAAAATAAACAAACATTACATACGATAATAGTACAATATAAGGTGATCTGGACAAAAACATAGAAAAAGTGAGTATTTATGTGAATGAGGAGGCAGCTAGAAAGGAATTGCCTTATTGGTGCTGCCACCTACAAAAAACTGAAAATTTGAAATTAGGATAAGAAGAGAGTATGACAAGACCAGATTGAAGATTTACAGAATAAGTGCACTGATAACATGAAGGAAAATTGGTCTGTAGAGCCATATTAAATGAAACTAAAGCCCATTTAAGCTTTAAATATAATGAAAAGTTGAACATAAGTAGGAAAGTCAGGCAAGTAATCCCCCATCCCCTCAAAATAGCTGAGAAATTTATTTAGACAAAACAATCTTTCATGCAGAAAAGGACTTTATCAATCTAAATTGGATACACCCAAGACAATAAGGATTTAGGTTTGGTTTAGTGGATATTCTGTTACTTAGTCAAGGCTACTTATAGCCAAGGTACATAGTACTTAGTTGTGAATGGAATCAATGGAATTTAAAGTGGGTTCACTGCAACAAAATAGGGAGAAGTCTAAATACAAAAATAAACAGAAAGTCCATATAATGTATGCAGTGCTATAACAATAATATAAACTTTCTCTTTCTCTTTCTTTTCCTTCTCTCTCTCTCTCTCTCTCTCTCCCTCTATCCCTCTCCTTCTATCCCTCTCCTTCTCCTTCATTACCCCTTTCTCTCTGACTTATGAAAGCCAGAAGGGTTTAACTTTGTGTTAAAAACTATTATATAGCCTAGGGTAATGTCCTTCTGGCTCTTAAACAGATGACAAAAAATACCTGTTTTAAAGGTAAAGACCAGTATTGAAAACGCCCCAATTTCAAAAAATGAAATGGAAGCTCTCATTACCAATCATGTGAAAGAATATGTTTTGACAAATACATGATGATAAAAAATTTGCCAGGAAACCGCCTACTAATTCATATATTTGGTAAATTTGTTTCTCTCATGGACTGTGAGAGATATAGGGTAGTCCCATATACAACCTATCTGTGTATAGTGCTTGTAACTTTACAAAGAATGGGCTAAATTTCTTATCATTTTGATGATTCCACAACATTTCTTTCACAATGCAATCGCATGACCATAACTGGTCTTTACCTTTAAACTTAGATCTCTGAGAAGGTAACCAAAGACTTGGGAGAGGTGTCATATCAACAAAGTCTCCCATTGAAAAAAAGTGAATTATGTTATTTTTAAACATTTGACCATGGTATATAACTCACAGGGCAGTGCATGAGATATTATTTTGAATTAAAATGAGCAGATCAGTGACCTTCAAGTTATAACTCCTACAAATTCCTTCTATTGGATACTAGATAATCAATTTTTGTTCAATATTTAAGATAAATGACATCCACTTTGAAAGGTTTCAAGAGATGATTTACAGTTATTTCTCCCTAGCCAGATGAACAGTTTTGTTAACCCAATTAACTTATCCTTGTGAGCAATTTAACGTTGGCATATTTAAGGCCTTAGAGCTGTCTTCGTAATGACAACTGCTGCTGTTGACACAAGGGTCTCTTTAGGTTGATGTTCATTTTGATAGACTTCAATGTTAATGAATAAACACAAACATGATTCTAATTGTAGGTTTGTAGTTCAATTAAAATTTAGAATATGAAGAAATGAATGTAGTAGAAAACAAAATGTATGTGTAATCAGAAGTTGTTTATTCTTGAAAATCAAATGTCTATATAATCATTGGCAGATTTGAGGGGGGAGCACTAGTGCCCCTTCAATAGCCCATATAACATGTGCCATTAAATGTGTTTTTCTTTCTTTCTTTCTGTCCTTCCTTTTTATTTTGCTTGCCCAAGATTTATTGGAATAGTGTCCCCTGCTCCCCTTCTCAGCATTGTGGACTGCCCCTGCATATAATGTAGTCTTCTCTCATATTCCAAGAAAAACTTGGGAAGAGAACAATGTTATAGAAAAAAGACAAACAGGAAAGTTAAACGTTTTTGGCATCGTTCAGATCATCAAAATGTTATTGATCAACACCAATATGAATCTGTCAAGCTCCTGGAAAGAGAAGGCTGGTAGTGTGAAACAAGTCAACTGTATCAACATGATTTGAATGACCCCAGAAGAGCAATATATCATGCACATGTTGCTGTTTGTATCGATTCCATTATAAGAAGAACGTCAACCCATTAAAAAGTGTGTCAAACGGGACCACAGTCCCAAATGTTGTAATTGCTCTTCAAAGAAACATTCAATCCAGGTCACATTCTTGTAATACTAATTGTTAAAAGTTGTCATCACGGGTAGCAGATGTTTTAAGAGTCGGGCGCATGCCGCACGTGATCCTGCAAACGAGATGATTTGATGAAGTCGGTAGATCAACGGTATGAGTGTCGGGTTAGGCGTAATATAATTTGTTTTCTATAAACTTCCACCTGGCCGTTATCAATTACTAATGGCATGCAAGGTTAGATTGCTAAATTGAAAACATCGAGCGGGTGTGAAAATGATTAGATTGTCTCTAAGAGCTTTAGTACGTGATTGAGTACACCAAGTAGAAAGCACGATTTAACCACCAATACGAAAATAACATGTGGCTCGTTTAGCAGCCTCAGAGCTAACCCAGTACAGACTTGATTGTACAATTTATATACCTCTCTTTAGAAATCTAGCCATCTGATTGGTCGAAATTGCAGTTGTGATTTAAGATATTCCTATCTACCAGTCAATAGTCTTTCAAAAAGTGCCCCCATACCAGCCCACTGGTCAATAGTCTTTTTAAAGATGCCCATTGCCCGGGTAACAGGCTGCATGAATGAATATTGCTCAGATCCCCATGTGTTTACGTGTTAAAATTGTCTTTGTGCAAGCGTGGACACCATACAGTACTTTTTGTCTGTGGTTCCCGAATTATTGAAATTGTCAGACATGTTTTCAGTGAAGATAAACAGACAGTGTACATGTATCAGATTTTCTGTGATGTTTTAACCAATCTTATTAATAAAAGGATAAGGTAAGATATGCCAATGATAATCATTATTCAACGCATTTCTTCTATTTTACTCATTACAGAACACCTGAGCAATGTCCAACTGTGGTGTCCCTCCTATCAGAGAGCTACAACCCCCATGTTCGATATGGAGCAGCCATGGCTTTGGGTATTGCATGTGCAGGAACTGGAAACAAGGTAAGTTCCATTTTTATTCAGGGGGGAGGGGGTAATTTAATTGATTTGAGAAAGATGAAGGAATTCATAGGTTTCTGCTGTCTCTAAATAAAATTTATAATCATAAGTCCTAGATTATAACAGGGTTCGTACGGGTCATGGAAAACCTGGAAAGTCATGGAATTTTACTTTATTGCTTTTAAGGCCTTGAAAGTCATGGAAAATTATTTTTTCCATTGGAAAGTCATGGAAAGTCATGGAATATCAAAATTATGGACAACTATAGTATTTTCTCACTATACAAGTGAATAAATGGAGATATTTCAACCATTTTCTTCTCGTATTTTCTTTCATTCGTAACATACCGACTGATTGTACTTGTGAATGTGTTCACTATGATCGATGGATAAGCGCTGTGTACGTGGGTGTGTACGTGTACGATACGAACTACGTGTGTATGGTCAGTGTATGGCGGTACGGTCCACATCGTGCGCACATGGCTAGCTTGCGAGCGAGCTCGCTAGCGCTAGCTCAGTTCAGCAAGCTAGCGCACGTGTACGTGTGCAGTGTGTGTGTGCATATGATGATGGTGCCAACGCGACATGTGACACTCCAAGAACGAATGTAATGCCTCGATTGCACTTTGGCTTTGCATTAAATTGCGACCACTTAGACTACTACAATTTTTACACTTCTCCAATAAATGAGGAAAAAGTAAATTAGTAATATTTGTTTTTTAATTTTCATTATTTAAATAAAAAAGGAACAATACTGACGTGTCAACAAGGCAAATTGGCAGCGCTAGCTCGTTGACGATCTATATATCGACGCGACGGCATGTGTTTTGAAACTTTTGTGCATGTGTTGATTCTTCATGAAACGGAGTTGTTTATTTTCACAGACCTTGGAACTCGTCACGTGGATATTTTCACCATTACAAATTTTGTGGAAGTGATATTCAAAATGCCTGGAAATTGTCATTTTAAGGATGCTTGGTTAGAACACCCGGATTACCGTGGCTGGATTTTGAAAGAAAGTTCCGATCTGGGGACTGCTAGATGTGCTGTTTGTATGTGTAAATTCAGTGTCCGTAATATGGGCGAAGCAGCCGTCAAGAGCCACAAGAAGAGTGAAAAACACACAGCAAACCTCCAACAGCAACAACGTCGTAAGTGAGCATTTTTAATGTGAATTTTACCGATCCTTTATTGAGCATGAATCCAAATAATGACTGATAATAATTATATAAAAATGAAAGATTTGAGATTATTTAGCGATGCGATGTCACCTCGCAGGCATTGGTTACTGCTTACTGCGACCAGCCCGTTCGGGAGCGTCCCCGGCCCCGGGCCGGGCCGGCTAGGTTACTGCATGCAACAGCCCGAACGCTAACCCAGGGGGCTCCGCACTCACACGCCAGTGTTGTACCGGGCACTGTATGTGGACTGCAGAAAAAAAAAAAAATAATAATTTACCTTAAAATTGACCCCAAAAATCATAAAACTAAATTTTGTACTTACAATTGGGTCCAACAGTTTGCTTGCCTTGAGAAGTAGAGTAAAGTACCCGGTTTTCGGCCACTTAAGACAAAATCCTATTTATTGGACTCTTTACTTCCTATTTATTATCATTTCTTGTTCAAATCATGAAGCAAATATTATTATTATTTAAACAAAAAAGAATCCCCCAAAAAAATCACGAATTGCCATGACAATATTCATTTCAATTTTCACTGTTTTGGAGCCGGTTATCGGCCGAGCGTTTCAGTTTACGGCCGCATGTACAGAGTCAATAGGAAGCGCTCGCGCGCGCCGTGCGTTTCTGCGCTGATGTATAGCACAAGCGGGCGGAGCAGGTATCCCACGCCGGAGCTCCCGGGTGCTCGCCTGACCGAATACAGGCACAGCGGTGATCGGAAGTTGGAATCTGAATTAGACGGACATATCGTGTGTGCGTCGCGGTGTGCGGCTGCATTGATTTAATACATGCGATGAGATACTTTTGAGCTTGCGACCAGCACAAAATCGGGCTCTATATCTGAAAAATACTTGAAATAAAGCTCATTTTATGGTACCCATATTTCTTACATACACGCGTAAGAAACTCGATTTTTCAGATTTGGGTAGCGGGACCGCCGATTACATCGCTAAAATGTGATATTTTAGGATATATTTTTCATTGCAAATGTGGTTCTTCAGTGACACTGGCATGGTATGGTATGTGTGGGATATGTGTTATGCTATTATGCGATGTATTTTAAAGTGATTTTACCATGTATCCAACCAATTGGCCGAAAACCGGAGCTGACCGATTACCGGGTACTTTACTCTATTTCCTCCTTTCTATTTCTTTAAAATATGTTTTTAAGGAATGAGTCAAAAATTAGTCCACTTGTCTTAGTGACTTACATCAATTGGCCAAAAGTTGCCGTGAATTTTTTTTTTTTTTCCTTCCCCATACTGTCAAACGGTTGTCAAAATAGGAAAACGTTTATGCTTTTAATGGTCGTTTGAACGGCAGTTAAACGTTTTGACTCGGCCCTAAATCTTACCAAATGATGATATTTATATTTTATTTATTTTAATAGACATTTTTTTCTTTTCTCCTAGATTCTACTCTCTCACTCAAGAGCTTCTTCAAGGCAAAAGGTGCAGAAAGTTCATCAGTATCTATCACGTCTACAGATGCAACAACCAGTACTTGTGCGCCATCAACCTCTAAAGTGACAACTCCCATTCCTGTTGCTGCAAGAGAGGAAACTTTAAAAGCTGAAATACTCTGGTGTCTGAAAGTGGTGGAGGATCATTTATCATTTCATTCTTGCCAGCACAACAGTGAGCTCTTTCAAAGAATGTTTCCGGACTCAGCTATTGCTAAGGGTTTCACGTTGTCAGAAACAAAATGTCGGTATATGACGGTGTTTGGTTTGGGCCCATATGTGCAAGACCTCCTTTATGACAACATAAAACAATCAAACCACTATGTGATACTGTTTGATGAAAGCCTCAACAAGAAGCTCCAGAAAAAGCAGATGGACTTCCTCATAAGAACATGGCAACACAATGAAGTTTGCACTCGCTACTTGACGTCTGTGTTCATCGGACATGGTTCAGCTGTTCACCTCAAGGAAGAACTGAATAAAGTTCTGCACACAGTTGGCTTGGAAAAATTACTGCAAATATCAATGGATGGTCCCAACGTTAATTGGAAGATGTATGATGACTTTACGCGAGAGTACACTGCTGACCTGACCAAATCCATACTGAATATAGGCTCATGCGGGCTCCATATAGTTAATGGTGCTTTTCTGACAGGTGCCAAGGCTGCTGACTGGGAGGTGGAAAGCTTTCTATCATCCTTGTATTACCTGTTTTCTGATTCCCCTGCCAGAAGAGAGGATTATCAGAAGATAACTGGAGATCATACCATGCCACTTAAGTTTTGCAAGACCCGATGGCTGGAAAACCTTCCTGTTGCAGAGAGAGCAATCAGCATCTGGGAGAGTGTATGTGCGTATGTTAAAGCAGTAGAAGAGAAGAAAATCCCTCACCCAAAGAACAAGTCCTTTGAAACTGTTTCAAAATGTACTCATATAACTGATTTCTTAGCAAGACTGTACTTCTTCATATCTGTTGCAAAGCTGGTCAATCCTTTCCTAACAGACTATCAGACTGATGCACCAATGCTGCCCTTTTTAGCTGAAGACCTTACTAGAATGCTTGCATCCCTTATGCAGCGATTTTTAAAGCTGGACAGGAGTACCATTACTTCTCCTTACAAGATAATGCAGGTAGATGTTAGCAGTGAGGCCATTCAGCTGCCCTTGGCCAAGTTGGACATTGGATTCTACACTGAGAAGAAGCTGAAAGATCTGAAGGCGAAAAATATCATCAGTGAGCTGAAAGTTCTGGAATTTCGCACTCAAGCAAAGAAGTTTCTTGCTGCAATGACCCGGAAGCTCATTGAGCGATGTCCGCTTAAGTATGCACTTGTGAGAAATATAGGATGCTTGAGTCCAAAGAACATGGCAAAAGACAAAGAAAACTCCACTGCAAAGCTGAAGAGGGTGCTTAACACCCTTAGTGATGCCCACAGACTTAAGGATTCATGTGACGATATCCTAAGAGAATACTCAGAAGCATGTGATGAGGCATCAAGAAGTGCAGAGATGAGAGACTTTGATCCAAAGAAAGAGAGATTGGACTCTGTAATGTGCAAATTTCTGTCCGAGTCTCGCTATTCGACCCTCTTAAAGTTGGTCCGCATGTTGCTTGTCTTGTCCCATGGACAAGCCTCCATTGAGAGAGGTTTCTCAATCAACAACGAAGTTGAAGAGGACAATCTCCTGGGACACTCACTGATATCATTGAGGGCCATTTATGACCATATCAAGTATGTTGGAGGAATCAAGAATGTGACTATTGACAAATCAATCATGTTGGCTGCGTCTGCAGGCAGGCAGAAATACCACATCTATCTCGATGAACAGAGGCGTAAAAAGGAAAAGGAAAAGAAAGAAGGAAAGAGAAAAGGACTGATGGATGGTTTGGAAGAACTAAAGGCCAAACAAATGAGACTGCAAGCAGATGTGAAAAGTCTTCACACCTCAGCAGACAAGTATGCTGAGGAAGCAGAGTCACAAGGAAGATTGACTTGTATTTCCAAATCAAACAGCCTCCGACGTACAGCAAAGGAGAAGGCATCCCAGTTACAAGTAATTCAGAAACAGATTGATGAACAGCTGAATGCCATTAAGAATTATTAAAGAACTTGGACAGTTTGTTACCAATGCCACCAAATATTCAGACAGGTGCAATGTGTAGAGGGATTTCTTTCAAACAGCTACATGAAGATGTCTCAAGAAAAAACTCATTCAGAAATTATTGACCAGCTTAATGCTAGCGAAACAAGAATTCATCAGCTGATGTGAGTAGGCCTACTGTGTTTTGTTGGTGAAATCAAAATTGGTGATGGTATGTGTGTGAGTTTGTGTGTTGGTGTTGTTTTGTTTTCTTTTTTTTGGGGGGGGGGGGTAGTTACCTTGTACATGCAAAGGAGAGCTATTGAAGGAATCATGGTGGTCCATGAAACCAGGAACAGGCAATTTGTATTCTTTAGAAGTGAAAATTGCCATTAAAAAATGGACAATTGTTGATATGAATACATGTATGTGTAATTGTAAGAATATTATATAGCAGTGCATATCGAATATGATGAAAAAATAACATGTAATTGTAACAGATGAAATAACTAGATAACAAAAGCTGCCTTTCTATTAGTAGACTTGAAACATGCACTTTGCTTCGCTTTGATTTGAGATCAAATTTTCAGTCTACCGTGTAAAAAAAATGTGTAAAAGTCATGGAAAGGTCATGGAATTCTGGCTAGAAAAGTCATGGAAAGTCATGGAATTAAATTTATGAGAAAGAGTATGAACCCTGTAGATATCATAACCCTTATTTACACCTTGTATAAAAATAAGTTTATTCCTTCATCAATTATTAAGAAAATTAATATTCTAGATTTTTTTAGTACAGGGACAACTGGAGAGAACTCAAGAGACATGTCCCAGAGTTACCAGTTTGTGTTTCATTACCATCAAATTCAGGACTTCCTAACTTTGTTGTTTTATTCTGATTTTTATGCCTCCGCCACCGAAGGTGGTGCCGGAGGCATCATGTTTTCGGGTTGTCCGTCCGTACGTCCGTCCGTCCGTACGTCCGTCCGTCCGTCCGTCCGTCCGTCCGTCCGTACGTCCGTCCCGTTTGACCGTTATCACAATATCTCAAGAACCATTTAAGATTTAAACTTAAGACTCAGGAATAGTATTTATCACCATAGGAAGACGATCTGATTAGATTTTGGAGTACGTAGGTCAAAGGTCACAGGTCACAGAGGTCAACTTATGAAATTCCTTGTATTGGGTTTGTTAGCGCGATATCTCAAGAACCATTTGAGATTTAAACTTCAAACTTAAGGATAGTATGTATCACCATAGGAAGACGATCTGATTAGATTTTGGAGCACGTATGTCAAAGGTCAAGGGTCACAGAGGTCAACTTATGAAATTCCATACATTGAGATTGTTATCATGATATCTCAAGAACCACTGGAGATTTAAACTTCAAACTTAGTGATAGTGTGTATCACTATAGGAAAACAATCTGATTAGATTTTGGAGCACGTATGTCAAAGGTCAAGGGTCACAGAGGTCAACTTATGAAATTCCATACATTGAGATTGTTATCATGATATCTCAAGAACCACTGGAGATTTAAACTTCAAACTTAGTGATAGTGTGTATCACTATAGGAAAACAATCTGATTAGATTTTGGAGCACGTAGGTCAAAGGTCAAGGGTCACAGAGGTCAACTTATGAAATTCCATACATTGAGATTGTTATCATGATATCTCAAGAACCACTGGAGATGTAAAAACTTCAAACTTAATGATAGTGTGTATCACCATAGGAAGACAATCTGATTAGATTTTGGAGCACGTAGGTCAAAGGTCAAAGGCCACAGCGCACATTACGAATGCAAAAACAGCTTGTGATCGCGTTATCTCAAGAACCGATTGATGGATTCATGCCAAAATTAGGTCATGTTTGTTACTTGCAGAGCCAATGAACTGAGTAGATTCTTGGTTCATAAGGTCAAAGGTCAAAGGTCATGGGCCCATTATGTATGCAAAAATAGCTTGTGAACGCATTCTCATTAGAACTGACAGATGGATTACTATTTAACTCAGAACATCTTGCAGAGCCAATGAACTGAGTAGATTTTATGGTCATGAGGTCAAAGATCAAAGGGTCATATATGTATATGAGAAATTGCTTGTAATCACAATATTCTGAGAACCTGTCAATGGATTACCATTGAACGTGAATTTTTTTTTTTTTTCTGTTTTGGTTTGTAAAATTGCTCTATAACGGAGGCATCATTTTCGACTGCGCGCAGTCGAATTCCATCTAGTTTTTCTTCAAACATGCGCTAATCTGTTTCTCTTATTTTCTGCTTTTATTATGCAAAACAATTAAAATACCAGATTGAACTTCCTTTTAAATCCCTTTATAAGCATGCATATATTTCATATACGTTTTGTCTGTCTTTACCAGGATGCCTTGAGTATTCTGGAGCCCATGCTGAACGATTCCGTTAACTACGTGAGACAGGGCGCCCTCATTGCCTCGGCTATGGTCTTGATTCAGCAGAATGAAGTCACTTGCCCAAAGGTAAATCTGACATCAGTATATCAAATTAAATCAAGTTATTATATTCATATTATATCCAAACTTGAGGTGGGGCTCCAAACTAACTTATTTGGAAGGGTTTCCAGACTGGTAAGCATTATATAATAAGTTGTAGGAAAAAATTTCTTAAAATAGCCACAATCCTATTACCCTAACCCTTCCTGATGCACATGGTATTGTATCAAAATGGATGCAAATTAGATACATTACTTTGTGGCTTTATTTTGTAAAAAGTAATTGTATTTTATTAGAAAGTTCTTCGCAAGAAACTCTCTGACTTGAATCTACTCTCTGTCTTTCAAGACCTTCACTTTGTGTGAATTGAGGCCTTTGGAAAATCACCTTTACTAACAAAGGACCGTATGAGAAACGGCCACTTATAGAGAAGGTTGAGTTTTTAAGTGGTAAAAATGAAAAAGTTATTTATGAGCTCTTTTTCTTTGTTTGTATGTCAGTTTGGAGGAATATGATAGTAGAAATGCCACCTGAAAGGGATTGCACTTTAAAAGCACTCAAGACATTCAAAATATGACAATAAATAGCTGAAAAGTTTGAACCATCTGTATACCCATTTTTGCGTGCCATGCACGTTTCTAAAAAAAAAATTAGCAACATTTTTCCTCTCTCCTTCTTCTTCTTCTTCTTCTTCTTTCTTTCTTTCTTTTTCATTTTAATCATCCCAAAACCTCACAGTATTCATTATCTTCTGTCTTATGTACTACAATGTCAGCATTTTCTAATGTCATCCAGACATTTTTTCAAATTTTGTAATAAACAATGTAATTGCATGGCTAGTACTCAACTTGATCTGTAAGATGAGAAGAAATGATGTATAAAAGTATATAAATCAGTATTATTTTCGCCATGCAGTATTATGTTAGCTGCTTGAAACAAATATTGACATGTCACTGAAGATTTTTTTTAAAAATGAGCAGTCTGTGACATCTGCCTCCTCATTATCCTGTCATCCGTTGCTATGGTGATGGGATGAGAGCACAAGCATACAGCTTGTCTTGTGTGGTAACGATAAACAGACCTGGTAGAAGTTATGACGTACATTAATAATTTCTTGGAATCTAGTCTAGTAAAACAGGTAATCCCTTGACTATATACTGGCACAACATGTCTCTTGAGACACATTCAAGTAGATGTAGATGCACAGCACTGTCTCCCCTGTTTGGTGCCACAAGGGCATTAGCTCATATATTTAATACAGTGTTAATGCCGTTTTGCATCTAAAGGGATGATGTTAAGTCTGATTTTATTTACTAAACTATAAAAGCATAATATTTTGTTCTGTCTAGAGACAGAAAGATATCAATATAGTCAGAAGCATATGCATATCTCCTTTAAAGTGAAGATGCCTAGACAAATATGTGTAGTATGAAAAAACCCAGTCAGATATATCAAGTATTAAACCGATCAGAATACCTAATTTCATACCAGGTGAAATACATGATCACATTGCAATTTCATTTTATTGATTGAAAGCAAATCAATCACCACCCTTTGATGTTAAAAGGCATTGTTTAACAATGTTAAATCTGAGATGCACGGCCCTACGTGTTATCAGTGTCTGTGATATGGTGTAATATTGAAGCCCTAAAAAAAATCGCACTTCAAAATGATCAAGAAGTGCCTCAAAAAAGTAATCTTTGAGTGACCGGTTTTACCATACTCGCTTTCCCCAATAGACTGTAGTGTTATGAAAACCATTTAGCAAACGGTTTTCAAAATTTGTAAATCCAATCATAAATATCTTGATAATCAGACAGGCGATCGGCTTGTAAAAGTCATGGGGTTTCTGACTAACCTAAAGGTTTATAATTATCATTGCAGCATGAGCTAAATCCAGGATTTTGTTTCAAAAGCTGAGACAAAGTTACCGGATCCCTTTAAGTCATGTTGAACCTTTAAGATATTTAAATATAAAGTCCAGTGGAGTGCACAAATCACATGATGACATCAACAGAATATTAGCCTGACTGAATGCGCATTCCAGTTGAGCTTTCTAAGAAATTATTGGATTGTGGGGGCGGTCAGTCGTGATGAAGAAGCGCTTGTTCAATGATTCTGATGTGGATAATTGCTAGAGCCAGAATATTGACTCTCATGGTGGGACATTACCAATGTAAACAAGACTGCTTCATCATATGCTCACCCCTACTGTGCATTAGTTTCAGAATTGGAAGGGGCTCAACTGGCCTGTGCACTGTGCCCCCCCCCCCCCCCTACCTTTAAAACCCAATATGGTATTCCTTAAGTACACACAAAGAAGAATGTGCCCCCTTATTGTGCTCTAGTGTGCTCATCCCTACTGTGCTTGTTTCAGTTTCAGAACTGCGGAGGGAGGGTCTGGGCACAACCGACCATTTAAGTGGGCACTTTGACAACAGACCTTTTTTTTTTAATCCTTGATCTACCCCTGGTGAAAAGTAGCTGAATTTGGAGATATCAAGGCTACCTTTTGAAATGCCTCATTGAAAGTATTTCAAATTAATCACACTAATTTGGTTTGGACTTGGTATGGTGTAATTAACCTGACAAACAATCCTTTGAAAGATAGTTTTATCTTTAAAAATTGTCATCATTAGCTCATAGTATAAATAGCAATTCTCTGTTATATTTTAATCAAATAGTTCAGAATTACAAACCGGAAAGTTTACAGTGTAGTCAATTGTATTAACTTGCCTTGAACCCAAATGTGTTTACAACCTAGTTACGCAATCCACCTTTCTTCCTTTTTTCTGAAATAAGTAAATAATTACAACATAATACTGGTTAATTTCAAACAGTGATAAGAAAAGTTGGGTTTACAATTTGTTGCAGAGAATGAATGATCATATAATTACAGTTGAATATTCAACAAAGCAGACATTCATATTTGTTCTGTGCTGGAGTTAATCAACTGGGTTTTTTTTTTCCTTAATTGTGGCAATTGTTGATTCATTAATATTTAGATTTTAGGCTCTTAAAGTTATGAAATAAAAAATCTTGAGAATGAAATAAATATTTACAAAGAAACACATGTTCCATGATAGGAAGAAATGGATTAGTTCCAATCATTAAGTCATTATATCAATAAGGAACCTTCTGGGAATGCATCCTTTGTGAAGACACACCATGCATGCTGTGTAACCAGAAAGGGGACAATGTTCCTTCCCTCTCCCGCTGACACTTAAGTTTATCTTCTCAGACAGTTGCTAAGTTCACATCAAGGAACTGTCATTGTTTTAAACTTTAAAAGTTTAGAAAATGTCAATTTTAAAACAACACTGGACCGAAACAATGAGTATTCACGGATGTATACTACAAGCTACATTGTAGGTAGTAAAGACATTGATCTACACTTGCCACACTCAACCCAGGTGATGTAAATACAGGTAACTGGCAGGAATTAATTCTTTGAAATGCTAGAGCACCGCAATGGTAGCACAGCTAAAGCCGGAGTAATAATCTCCAAGTTTGGAACGCCTTAGTGGTTCTAATAAGCGCTATATAAAAAACTGAGTATTATTTGTATAAAGTAGTTGTTTTTAAATACACATCTATTAATATCTGGCATAACCTCAAAAAAAATTGCATCAGTACGGCACACAAATTCAAGTAAGGACCCCAAATGGCGTGCACTGACCATAAAATCGCTCGTGGTTAGAACGTTTCATAATGTTTCATAACCTTGAGAGCATCCACATGGACCATTACTACACGATAACCTTGAAGTTTAAAAACCAAGACCAAGTTTAAAAACCTACCACAGTTGTCAAGTCTTGATTGCTTTGTAAAGTCCTCAAACCCAAACCCAAAGTTCCGGTATGAGATAATTGCTCTCCAAATGTCAAAGACAGAATATTATGTGCTGCTCCGATGCTGGGGCTACAAGAGATCTACATGTTCTTGTAGGTTACCTGATTATTTACATTCTAGGAATGAATCAACACTAATGAGATATATTGTAATTGTGACTTTTGGGCTTTGATGTGATGAGGGCATTTGAAGAGCAGCCCTATTCCAGAAATCCAGCTTCTCTTTTAATAACAAAGAGTCAATACTGGTTCGGCTGGAAGCACGCAAAATCAGAAATCACTCCATATATTACTGCTACTGTTGGTATTGACAACCAGCCTCCTATTCTCCATCTGAGAAGCCCCCGTGTCAGGAAGTGCGGCCCTGGTGTTTGATTTAATGAGGTCAAGATCTTATTAGTCAACCTAAACTAAATCTATCTGTCGCCTGTCAACAGAATTTTCACTAATGGTGTCATATCACCAATCTATATTGCCTTTCACCCCAGAGAGGAAAGGTTTTGTGTATTAAAGGGAGCTAATATACAGCTGGTGTCATCTCTTTAATCTGTAGCTCATTCACACAACACAATACATTTCAAACATTATCAGTGCTGCCAACCATTAAGTTTTTCCCAGAATTATTCTGTTTTTTTCTCACAATTACGGTAGTACGTTTTTCCTGTTTAATGAAATACTTTTTTCCCTATTTTTTTAAACATACTGCACCTTAACTCAATGCCCTAAAATGTTGATCATTACTTCAATAGAAAACTAAGTTTGAAACATACCTGGAGAGAAAAACATTCTCAAAAAGAATGAAACTACCACTTAAAAACTCAACCTTCTCTATAAGTGGCAGTTTCTTATACGGTCCTTTGTAAGTAAAGTTGATTTTCCAAAGGCCTCAATTCACGCGGAGTGAAGGCCTTGAGAAACAAAGACTACCAGGTACTGTAGATTAAGGTCTGATACCTGTAGTTTCTTGCGAAGTACTTTCTGATAAAATACTGTGACTAGTTATAAATTAAGTTGACTTCTAGTCATATGATTGCATGTGGAATCGATCAGAAAAAGTTGATACTATAGCATATAAGTATTAGTGTGTACTGCAAGGTTCTGGAATCATCAAAATGATAAGAAATTTGGCCCACTTGGTAAAGTTACAAGCACTACACACAGAAAGATGTTTATGGG